TTAATGGAGTTTGATTGTTGAATGGGTTTTGATTTTGTGGTTGAGAGGTTTGTATGTTGTTGTGAATATGTTTTTTTGAAAAGATTTTCTCTTTACATGTTCTAATGTTGGATAAAATTAGTTTTTAGTTGTTATTTTCTTCGACAATGCTATTTTTTATTGTTGTTGTAATTTTTTTTATTTTCATATTCAGATTTTTTTTGTATGTTATTTGAATAAATTTATAATTTTATTTTTGATTAATTTTCTTTTTTTTTTGTCTTAAAGTTTGTTGAAGTTTTTTGGATACTTAATTTTCAAGTTAGTATGAATTATTTTATGTGCTATTTTGCTTTATTTATTGTCTGTTTGGGTTTATTAAGTTGTATTTGATTTTTTTTTTTTTGCATTTTATATTTAATTCTTCTGTCACACCTATTAAGTGTTTTTTTTACATTTTTTTCTTATAATATCTTGGTATAATTAAATGAATTAATGAATCAAATAGTTTCATCTATTGACAATTATGGTCATCACAGTTGATTTTTTTTTCTTTCTTAGTGTGTTTCTATTGACAAGTATATTTTTCATGTTGTTGTTAAAGTAAGTTATATGTAATTGTCTTGAAAGCACTTTGAATGTGAGTTTGATTAACAGATAGGTTGATTGATTTTTTTTTTTTAAACTTTGTTTTTCACTTTGAATACCTTTTGCATGATTTTGAAGAGAAAGTAACTGACTGTTAAATCATAAACTTAAAGTAATGCGGAAAAGAAGTAGTTTCTGTTATGTAATGTTGAGGACCATGATGAGTATAGTTGAAATTTTGAGTTCATTACTATTAGTGTATTTATTCTCTTTAATAAACATATTTCTAGCTTTTGATTTTAATGCAATCAAATTTTGTTCTTTAGCTTCTTTTTTTTAACTTTTTCAAGGTTTGGGTTTTTTTTTAATATTTTAAACTTTGTTTCTTTGACAATTTGAATGGTCTATGTTCTATGATCAATTATCTTTCATTGCTTCTACAAGATTGGTTCTTTTTCATTCTATGTTTTCTTTTCTTTAGCATCAATTAAGATATGTAATATTAAATTTAAGCCTTTCATAAGTTTAACAGATTTCTTTTGCCATATTAATATTTTTCTTTTAATTAACATTCCAATTGAATGCCATTTATGAGACTTTGGTATGGTGGCTGTTAGTAACTACTTCATCATTTCTTTTTCTTTTTCTTTTTTCCTTAATTTCTTTTTTCTATTCTATCTCTCCGCCTTTACAAAAAGAAAAAAAAAAAGCTTAACATATTTTCCCAAACTTCTTGAAATTTGTTTATTTTAATTATACTTTTACTATTTTTGTTTCTAATTGGTGTTTTCTGATAAAATTTTTAACACTGCCAATTTTTTTAACTTTGTTTGTTTCAAAATTTGTATGTTCTCTGTTTTATGATTAATTATAGATCACTTACCTTTTTTTTTGTTGTGATACGTTGCTCATTATTGATATTTGATTGAAGTTTTAATTTGACTATGGAAATAATTTAGAAATTTGAATGAAATGAAACATAATAATGAATTGTCGATTTCTTTTTTTTTTTTGTTATGCTTTAAACAAAAAATTATAATCAAAGATTAAATTTTTAGTTAAAGGAATAAGTAACAAGAAGGTCGAATATTCTTTTGTAGGTTAATATCGCATGCAATCTCATTTCCAAGCACATGTATTTCATATTCAAGATGCCTGTATTTTGGTCAAAGGAATCCAAGTTTAATAAGGCTTTGTTTGTGTTTAAAAAATAATGATGGATTTAAAGTGGAGTATGTATCTTGGTTAATTGTTGGATTAGGTAACCCTAGAAATAAGTACCATGAAACTCAGCACAATGTAATCAATAATAAATTATGAAGCCAATAGCTTAATTTTTGTTTTGATTTATATAATATTTACTTTTGTATGTTATTAGGTTAGCTTTGAATGATTGCTCAAATTTTTTAAGAGAAACGGATTGCGTTAAATACTATATAGTCAAAAGTTCTAATCCAGATTTGCAGTTACCTTTGACGGATTATTTAGATTCATTATGGTGATTAGTATAAGTGCAATTGGGGAAGTACTAATTCTACTGGCAAAGCTTCAGACACACATGAATTTCAATGGGGAGTCAGTTAGTCCTCATACATTTTTCTTTCCCCTTTTCTGACCCAATCTATATAGCAGGTGTAGGTCATGCACTCTTCGGACATACTTGAATTTCAATGGGGAGTCAGTTAATCCTCCTACATTTTTCTTTTCCTTTTTCTCGCCCAATTCTATGTAATAGGTCTAGGTCATACTTATTAAGTTCCAGTTAGTTTGCATTCATATGTCCTTTTGAAAAATCTCCTTACATTTGGTTAGCAAAGAAAAAATATCTATATTATTTTATAACATTGCTGAAAATTAGCTGTCAAAGCTTTTGCTCATAATATTTTCTGATACATGCTACCTTCATTTTTTTCTCTTAAATCAGCTACACATTTTCTATCAAATAGCTAAAATACAATGATTCTTCGACAATAAACCATTTCTTAGATACCTAATCATAAATAGGAATAACGAAGAATTGGATTGCATATATAACAATTGGAATAGGAATTTTTTTGTAGATTGTTTTGTGTTCTTTATTTCATTTTTTTTCAAGAAGATAAAAGAGAGTTTATAGTAGATAAAGAGATGCCACGCATTAAAGCAATGCAAGCCAACATGATGGTATTAAAAAAAAAAACCAAAAAAAGTGGGTTAAGTAATCCAAGAACATTTGCTAAGGTTTTAGATTTTTTATTTAATAGTAGGAGACTGGGATTATTAAAAACTAAGGCTTTATGGTTCTTTCAGTCCTTCACTTACTTCACTTTTTTCACATCCAATTGTAAACTCTCTCACACACACACACACTCTCTCTCTGCATATATATAATTGAAGTTCTTTCTTTTACTTAGATTCAAATTTGTTTTTTCCTCACACTTTTTCTTAGTCTTTTATTCTTCTTAATTTTTTTAGTTTAATTTGTTTGACATAAGATCTGAGCTTATTTGATCTGTTATTGGGTACTTGAGATACTAAGAAAAGACCTAAAAAAAAAATGAAAATTTGAAGTTGTTTTTTTGTTGGTTATATGTAACTCAGCATTAATTTCTTTGAGCTGAATAAAGCATTGGGTTAGCTCAATATCAGCTCTTTGCATGAAGAAATGATGGTTTCTATTCAAAGCTTTGATTTTTCTAAAACAGGTAAGGTATGGTTTTTTTTTAGTTACTACCAAATTCAGTTTTCTTTTAAAGTTTTCATTTTTGGTGTATTTAATATTTTTCCTACATTATTGTAGACAAGTAATAAAATGGACTCTAGGTAGTTTGAGTTGTATCAAGTAAACAGAAACTACGTGGCTAAGTTAAAGGTAAAATGGATTAGTATTTTGCTCTATGATGCTTGCAAATAGATTACATTAATATGGATTGGTTATTTGTAATTTTGAGATGTTGGTTTTTTTTTTTTTTGTGCTCCATTGATTATGTTGCATTTCATTTACTCTTGATTTTGTTTAAAATAATAAGTAATTTTTTGTTTAATTACCTCTTCAATGATGAATACAAGCTGAGGTTTTTAAATTCAAATAACTTTTTATTCTGAGCAAATTAAACTTAAATACCTAATAGTTAGATTTTAAGTTCTTTTGATTTCTTACAATCATTTAGTACGAATTTCAGAATCATTGTTTAATATTAATTTTTATTTAACAGGTGACATGATGGTTTTATTTCAGGGTTCTGAAAGCATTGAAAGTGTGGATGGTACAATTATGTGTGCAGTTATAAATTAGTCTGATCTTAGGTTACTAGGAAGTTTCCTGATTCATTTGCAAGTGTTATTTCTAAAATCTAAACTTTTTGGAATCAAGAGTGATAAATGGAAAAAATACAATCCCAATCAGACAACCTATCTCATTTGATGATTCACCTAAATGGGAGCATACAATGTTGATGTCAGGGTGGAAGAAAAAAGAGACTTTAATAATGCTGCAACCACGCCAATCTCCTCATCTCTCTCTAAGCTATACTTTTCAAGTATGAGACTCTTTGTAGGTAAAAAAAAACGTTGATGGGCAATTAGGCACTACTTTACTTAGTAATCCTCACTAACAAAAGTTTCAATATTTTTTGGTTTACATTACATTTGTAGAGACGTTCTACAAATATAAGAACAACGCTTTCTACCCAAGTAAGGGTCATATTTAATTAATATTGGACTTCTTATGAATTGTGTATAAAATATAGACTCTATGTTGATCATTTTTATATTTGTTTGTTATTTATTTTAATTTCTTTCTCAAGCTCTTTTGAGTATTATAAGAGTTAGTGAGAAATCAATGAGTATTAGTGGTGCAATTTTTCAAATAGAATTGGCATCTCATATATATTTTTATATCAATCTTTCCCCTATTATTATACTTGATTTGTCATAATTAGGACTTTTATGGAATCCTATATGAGTTGAAGTGTGTTTTAGGCCTTTTAATAATAAGTTTTTATTATTGTAATTCTTGCAATGGTTCTTGACAAATCTAAAAAGAATGCTTGGAGGCATATTATTCATTTTTTATCATGTTTGCTCATTTAGACTTCCTTGATTTTATTTTATTTTTCTTTACCAAAATTGTCTTTTTAAGTTCACATTGAAAGTCTAACACTTTAAAGCCTTTCTTTAAAAATTCTTGATAGCAATGCTAAAATGTGGCCTTTTAGTTGCAATCTCATGAATGATGAATGATTTAGGTATGTCACTATTTTTTCTAGAGAAATTTCATTGCCGTGCATGGACAAAAAACAATACACACATAAGTGTGGAGGCTATTCTAATTACTTCACTAATTATTTTATATTAATTGCACATCACTTTAAGTTTAAACTCAATCAAATACCAATTAAATAAAATATTAAAAATTTTCTTAACAAATCGGACAAAATCGAGCTTCCCTCACTAATTTTATTTAAAAATTATATTATTATTTTGCCATATGTCACAACCATATTAAATATTTTTGTCACATCAATCGATTGACTAAAACCGTAAGTCAAAAAAATACATAACTCTAATCCAAATAAAAACAAAAGAAGAAAGAGCAATCCGCAAAGAACATGTACTGATCCTGTCTTGTTAACATGAGCTCTTGTAACCTTCAAGTTGAAAGATAATGAACATAACACAAGTATGGATACTACTAACTTCTAACCCTATTTTTAGTACACTATTAAAATACAAAGGAGATCATGCTCTGTAAGCCGCATGAACATGCTCAGCAGCAAAAAAGAGACACAGGCAGCATAAATGTCACACCAGCAAAACAGACTACTATCATAGTTACATGAATGAGTAACATTTGAAGCTGACAGAATGGGAAAGGGACAGTACCATTAGAAGATTTGACAGAATTTTTAGCCCCTTTCCATTGTGATCTTTCTAGATGTCCCTCTCTTATTCTGCATTCATCCATCTTCATCTTGAAGATGCTGAAAAATTAGATCCTTTGTCACAAAAGAACGATTGTTACTGCCAAAATTTTGGCAGCCTAGTCACCACTACTCAAGCCTTTTTACGGGTACCTGATGTAGAAACGAAACATTAAAGGGTCTACAAAGATTTTCAGAAAACAATTCAATTGAAATTAATTTTTTTATGGTTCTTTCGCTCACCAGTTGCAAAGATTTTTCGATCTTGGTGTTTTCTTTATTTCTGGATGATGGTATAAATGCTATGATACTATCTTCATCTTTCAATGGATGTAAGCCTGCAAACAACAGCTTATAACTTCTAAGACTATGCTGCTTGCCATGTTAGAGGAATTCAACCTGAAAAAAGGATATATAGTCTAAAAACTTCAATGAAAGACTCCGAATTAAATAAATCAGAGAAGGAAGACCTATGAAGCTTTGGAATTCAGAAGAATGTCAGTTAGGTGGATGGATGGAGAGACTCTCACGTTATGGCTCAGATCTCAGGCTGCAAATACATAACAAATCAAGAAATAAGGAACAACCAACACTCCGACTTGGAATTGGATAGTTTATTAAGATTCTAAAATGCATGCCAACTTTATGTACTTCATCACTTATATTCTCAGAAATAACAAATATAGAAGGAAGCAAAAAGTTTTAATTTGATTTGGAGAGTCCTTATGCACCCCATAGTTACAATTATGAAAAATCAATTAAATTAGAATACAACCTCCATACCTTTGGAATTATTTGGGGATTTCATAGGGCAATTCCTTTGAAGAAAATCTTCATGAAATCCACAACTTCACCTATGATAATTTGCCCACAGGTGAAACACAGCTCAACAAGTTTGGCAATATCTTGAAGATATCAGCTAATAATTGCATGTATTGCAATCGGAGTTTGCTATCAGTTGTACCTTTATAGTTAGAACTACATTCTGATGGTATCCACAGCTACAGAGAATCAAAGCAGCTCTGTATTCACAAACAATAGCTCAGACCACAGAAGCAGCCACATCAGGAAGGTCATCAGAACTAGATGAGTCTACCACTAGTTTATCCCTCAAGAACAAATGATGAGCGTGACCTATGTTTACACCATATGCAAGCCCCTTGGAGAATTCTGCGTGCATTGCCTCATCAGGAATCCAGCCTGAGTTCCACATTTCAATTAATTGATTGTAGGATGAAGGATATGTATGTGATTTGAACAATAGTTTAGTTACACTGTTCATTGTATTATGGTCCAACTCAACTTCTGCCTCACTGATTTCTTGCATCAACTGTTTGACCATTTTGACATCTCTTTCACTGCAGAAACCAGAGATAACCAGATTATATGTGCATGCATTAGGTAAAATGCCAACATCCTTCATCTGGCTGTACAAAATAGAAGCTTCTCCTATCCTTCCACTCTTGAGAAGTCCATAGATGGCAACATTGTAAGATACAACATCTAGAGGGTATTTCTCTACGAGTGCCCTCCTAAACAACTTGATGGCTCTGTGATATTTACCAACTCTTATGAGCCTATCTATGATAATAGTATGGACATGAGCATCAAGACCAGGGCAATACATTATTATTCCTTTATATACATTAACAGCTTCATCAATTCTTCTTGCTCCACACAGCCCACTAAGTAATCCAACAAAGCTATACTTATCAGGTGTAAAACCTCTATCAAGCATGTAATCATATAACTCTACAGCATGCAATGGATAGCCAGCCTTGCAAAAGTAGTTTAGTAGTGAGTTACAAACTACCAGGTCTGCTTCTATTGCAAGTCCACTAGCTATCTTAGGTAAAAGAGAAAACCTCCGAGACAAACAAATGTTGGATAACAAAGAGCAAAATGTATAAGAATCAGGAACCAATTGTCTGTCTGACAAACTGACAAAAATACCAAATGCATCATCATACCTCCCAACCTTAGATAAACAATCTATTAATACATTACAGAGAACCAAGTCAGGAACATATCCATCAGATTCCATTCTAGTTAGAATGTTAGAAGCAGTAGTAAGCATTTGGGAATCCAAGAATCCCTTGATCAAAGTAGTGTAAATCACTATGTTAGGAGAGCAACCAGTCCCAAGCATCTTTTCAAACAAATCATTTGCCATACCAGGTTGACGCAATTGACAAAACCCATCAATCAATATACTCCAAACATTTATTGATACAGAAATTCCTAAAGTAATCATCAAACCCAACACTTGAGATGCCTCAGCTAGCCTACCCAGTTTACAGAAACAATTCAAAATCATCTCCAATGTCTTAACATTAGGATAATGCCCCTCCAGGAACATTCTTCTGCTAACATCCTTCATATTAGACAAATCACGCAACTTGCATAAATTACACAAGGCAATATTAAAAGTCAAGAAATTCGGGAACTGGGTTTCTTTCAAAACCTTGATAGCTACATCAACCTGCCCGATTTTAAACAAAACATCGATGATTACATTACGTGCAAATGTATTTGGAGTAAAACCAAAAGTACCCATTTCGTCAAAAGTCTCAAAAACCATTCCATATAATCCACCACGCCAATAAATCCTCAACAATAGCAAGAAAGTTTGTGGCTTTATCACACAACCAACATTTTCTAATTCCCCAACAATTCTTCTCAAAGTTACATACTTTTTAGTTAACTGAGTGAGAACATTAACCATACAATCAAATGCTTGAGCGTCATGAAAATAATTGGGTTGCTTAGCACACCATAAGAAAAAGCTCAAAGCAATCAAATTAGAAGGGCAGTTCAGTAGTGTAGAGTGAACAATCTGAGATGTAATGGTAATTCTCCTTTTTTCCCAAGAAAAATTTTGACTTTTGTCGTTTGAACTTACCTCTGCTGATGAAACATGGTGAAATGACATGAAAGGCAATGCTTTGAGGATCAGGATTCTTGGTGTTGAATGGAGGAAGCCCAAGTTGTATCTCCATAGCATATTTATAAGCTTGCAAGATAAAAGTGTTGAAATAGGTGACTTGAAATATTAAAAAAATAGATAAAAAGGTGGAGAGAGCTATGGGATTTTCCAGCAACATGAGCAGGAAAATAAGATAATTTTAAATGGCAAAGGTGATAATGATATGGTCAAGTTTGAAGTTTCTGACACAGGAAGGGTTTTAGACATTGCTGCAACTGCAAAAACCTGGAGAGAGAAAATAAAAAAATAAAAAAAGATTACTCTCAACCTGTCGCCCTTGTTCGCAAAAGATGGCCCAAAGTGGTTTAGAGGATGCGGACTGCTTCAAGAGGGGGCCATGCTAGAAGTGTTACTGGTCAGATCAGATTTTGGCATCTTTAAATGCCAAAGCCCAGCTTGAATTCAGCGCATTTTTTTTATCCATGATTAAGCGCAATCAATTAAGCCATTTTATGTTTGTCCAAAAGAAGATTTTTATAATTTAAAATTAGTTTTTCGTCAATAAAAAAGCCTTGAGTAGGGCTCGACGAGCTGCAAGCTTGGCAGGCACCCTCACTGATAGGATACGAACAAGTGGAATTGGGACGAGTTTTTATTTATCTCAAATTCGATTTAAAAATTTTTTTTATTTTTTTATATTTGAATTAGATTTAATTTAATATTATATAAATTATATTCGATTTAAAATTAATAAAATATTATTTTTAATATAAATATAAAATTAAATATATATAATTAAATAATTAATTAAAAATAAAATTTTTTTATATATCAAAATCTAATCAAATTAAAATTACTTAAAATTCAATTTTAATTTTTTTAATATTATTTAACTCCATCCGAAATTCATTTTTTTTTCAAAAAAAAATCCAACCTTACGAGGTTGGGTCCAAACCAGCTGAAAGCAAGGACTGTCAACTCTACCCACCATGAATAAATCTAGACATGGCCCTGAAAACTTCGAAAATTCAACATTTATATATTATTTTATTTTAGATGAAAATTGAAATTAACCTCTAACTTTAATTATTTTGGCTTTTCGTTTATTGTTAAGGGTTTATTCATTTTCATTCATATAAAATAAGAATTTAAGTGTCCTTTTATAACAACTCAATATTAAATTTTGTTATTGCACGTCAATTATATTGAAAATTTCTATTTTATTTTCAATTTTGTTGATTTTTAGATCAAAAATTTTATTTCGACCAGATATAAATTTAGTATGACTCCACAAGACTCAATGCCTTAGAGCTGCCGCAAAATGCATACAAGCTCAAGTAGATTTGACTAGGATAAAATTTCACATACTCTTCAGTTTTGAACCAAAACAAATAAAAGTATGATAAAGAATTAAGAGCATACAATTTTAGTACAAGAAGAAAGTAATAAATCCAAGAAAAATATCGAATGTGTAAAAGAAAACAAGGATTGCTTTCATTAGATGAGAATGACAAAATTCTATATTTTTCATAAACATGTATATCCTTATGTGAGATAGAGTGAATGGACACTGTTAGAGGCACCACCATAATCATTTGCATACACAAAATTGAAGAGCAAATCCACAAATTTATTTTAATGACAATGAAGACAATGTTCCAAATTCATTATTCCATATCCATAACAAAACACCAACTCAATGCTAATCCAATCCCATCCAAAAAACATGGTTCATAGTTGCAATAAAACCTCAATAAAGTTGCATCTTAATTATAAAAGCTCTGAGTTCTTCTGATAAAATAGAGGCTTCCCCCTGGTTTCAATACCTGTGTGCCAGCTTCTCCTTTTCTTTGTAGTTCTGGACATAGCTGCACCCAGTAGCATAAAGCATGTAAATAGACTAAGAAGATACATGAAAGCAGTAAAGCCAACGTGCTTAACAAAATGTGAAATTCTATACATGTAAGCAGGCTCCGGTGAAGCTTAACATTCATCACAAAATACTCTCAAGTCATGCAGATGATACAATTAGCAATAGCAATCCATTCCATTCTACCCAAGAAGACACGAGGAGAGGGGAAAGGTCCCAATAAACTATTACAAGATGTCATCCCATGCTTGCAGAAATGTTCACAATGAATGCAGATAGGAATAGTAACAACACACTACTGAAACTAGAAACTTATTGCTAAACAATGGCTTTAACACCATATCCTTTATTCTTTCTTTTTTCCTATGTTTCAAGGGATCAATGCCTCAAATATAAACAATCATTGACTACAAATATTAGCAAGGACTTAGTTACAATTACATTTTTGTTCCACTCAAATAGACTAATCTATGGTTCTATCAATGTCAACCAGCTTTTTCTTTTGCCTTTCATTTCTCCACTTTAGTTCCTTCGAGAAGAAGACCAACAGCTAAAGAATGTAAAAGTACTTAACATCTTAAGCATGCAATTTTATTGTCGTTGGAAGCTGCCTAAGCTGTATAGAGAAGGCATATTCCTAAGTTTCAAAAACAATTGCAATTTCATCAGCTTAGGCGGACATTCAGAACACCTCAAAGCTAACTCCTTTCCTGTCTAAAGCCTAAACCAAATGAAAGCAAACCAAACAACAAAGTCCAGTTATCTTCCCCATCCAAAAAAAAAAAAACCTAAAATCAAAAGTTTTGAAATTCGACATTGTAGTGATTTAGGATGTTATTCCCAAAAAAATCATCAATGAAATCCATAAACGTGATAGAAGCAGCTATGACAGAAATGAAACCCTAAGTGAAATTGAGAGAAACGGAGGAAACCCTAAGTCAAAAAAGGGGGAAATTGGGGGAAATAATTATGCTGGTTTATAAGGATACGAATAAAAGAAAAGGGAAGGGGAGGATTACGTGTAGGTTCCGACGAGAGGGGCGAGGAGTAGAGTAGCGCTAATCCAATTCTCAGAAACCTTGTGGGAGATCTTTTCAGGCAGATCCTTCCACAGACCACTCATTATCTTCTGCTGGAACGGGGACAACGCGTATACCACCGCCCTCATCCTCACTGGCTGCTTCCCCATTTCCTTCCTTTTTTACTTTTTCTTCTTTTTTTGAGCAGACTTTTTCCTTCGCTGTCGACGATCTGATGCCCAAACTATCTCAATTCCCAATTAATGGGGAGAGGAATGCCTGCTCTTGCCTTGGGCTTGGTTTATTAACCAAACAAACCCTCGGTTTTGGCCCAGTGTCTTTGGGTTTCAACCTCATCAATTTTGAACATGGAAAAATGGGGAGGCTAATTGTGGAGTTGCGTCAGGACAGCATTTGATCTTTAAAAAAAATACGAAAAAAAAATCTAAAATTTTAATAAAAATTATATATAATATTTAACAAAAAATTATATATTTATTATTTTTGTATTAACATCAAAGCGAGGGCAAGCAAGGGCCACAGCGCAAAAAATTTTTACACCCCTTCTTAATGAATTTATTATTTGATTCCCTACACCTTAAATTTGGCTTCATTTTTAATTGACATAAATTGAGATATAAAATTTTTATTTTTAAAATATAATATAAATATATTAATTATCAATGTTTTATATAATATAAATATACAAATTATTAAATTTAATATTAACTGTGAAGGAAGAAAACGAAAAGGACTCTCAATTTTCCTTTATTTTTAAGGAAAAAAAAATGTTGTACTTGGAAGGGGTCGATAGTTCCAGTTTTGTATGTTGGAACATACCAGTAAACATGTGAAAATTGCATAATCAATCAACTTGTTGGTGGCATGAATTCAAGAGTGCACCCATTAATGTTTTAAAAATTTTTAATTTTTGTAAAAGACAAGAGTCTAATAATTTTAAAATTTTGGTCAAATTATATTAGAGGTTTCTATTCTCTATCAAAATTTAAAATTTAATTTATATATTATAACTCATATAAAGTTAGTTTTCATATTATTTTGATTTGATAATCTTAATATAATTTTTAATTCTGTCAAAATTTTACTGTTAAAAATACTGCATAATAGTTAACTTGATGATATAAACATTAATTTTATTAATGTAGCATTGATTTTACTAATACGACAACTTTGATATATGAAAATCAGTTACCAAATTATAAAATTGGTTCATAATCTCTCACAAAATTTAAACTTTTGTCCCTCTATTATAATTCATAAAAATTTTATTTTTGTACGAGTTAAATTTGATAATGTTAGTCAAATTATTAAGAAAAATTATATTTTTTGAATTTTCTAAAAATCAGATTTTATTTTATTTTTAAACATTAATATTTCAAAATTTTAAAAAAATTCATATTTTTTAAAATATTAAATTTCATAATCTTTTAAAATATTTTAATTTTTAAAAATATCATATTTTGTTTATTTTAAAATTAGACATTATTTTTTCATTCAATATTTCATTTTTTTAATATATTAAATTTACTTTTCAATATTTTAAATTTTTTCAAATTTTCATTTTTTTGAAATTTTTCTTTTTTTTTTTTTCAAATTTCAACATTTTTATTTAATCAAAATATTTAATTTTAGTGTTTTTAATTTTTCAAAAATTTTATAAATTTTTTTGTATTATTCAAGTGAATAATAAATCGGAATTAAAAGGTTTTCATGCTTTGCCATTGGTCTATTTTACTCAAGATTTTCATACTTTTCATCGTAAATATACCAAATTAGAACAAATTATAAAGGCTCATGTCTTCTCTATAATTTATTTCTTTTTCATTAAAATATTAAAAAATATTGAAAATTTAAAATTTTAAAATATAAAATATAAAAAATTTTAAAAATTATTAAAAATTACAAAAAAAATTTAAATATTTCGATTTAATCAAAATCTTAAAATTTCCAAAAATATAAAAACTTTCAAAAATGAATTTTATTTAAAAAATAAAATATTAAAACAATAAATTTAATATTTAAAAAAAATCATTAAAAATTTTAAGAAATTTGAAATACTAAATTTTGTAAAAATTAAAATTTAATTTTAAAAATATAAAAAATTTATTTTTAAAAATTAAAATAATTAAAAATATGAAATTAAATATTTTTAAAATAGGATAAATTTCTAAAAAATAAAAAAAATCAAAATATTGATTTGAAAATATTAAATTTGATTTTTTAAAAAAAAAAAATAATTTTTATTAATAATTGAACCAATATTATCAAATTTAACTTATATGAGAATGAAATTTTTATAAATTATACTAAAAGGATTAAAGTTCAAATTTTATGTAAGTATAGAGATTATTTGTATAATTTAATAATTGATTTCATTATCCAATTTATTACAATAGCAAAATTAATACTCACGTTATCAAGTTAACTATAAAATTAGTATTTTAAAGGATAAAATTTCGACAAAATTAGTGATTAAATTAAAATTATCAAATCAAAATTATATAAACATTAAATTTATATAAATTATAATATATGAATTAAATTCTAAATTTTAATAGAATATAAAGACCTTAACCATAATTTGGCTTAAAAAACTTTGAATAGCACTTTAAAAGAGAAAAAATTCCTTTCTTCTTTGTTTTTTCTCGATCATTTTATCTTTCTTTTATTTTCTTCGAAGAAATTCAAGAATTAAGTTGAAATATTTCATTGTATTATGATTTTATTAGTGTAAGTTAGTTTTATTAAATTTTTTACTTAAAAATAATAAAATTAATGAAATATAATATTAATGCAAATAATAAATCTTATCAATGTACTTTTTTAAAAAATTATTGGTGTATTTTCAAATTTATAATATTGGAATATAAAATAATGGAATTAAAATATTATTTTATTAAATATTTTATTGGTATAAATGATATTTTTTATTATTTTTGTTATTTTATATAAAAATTAATAATTATTGTAATAACAAAATTAAATATAATAACAAATTTGATTTCATGAATTGAATAGGATTTGTGAGTAGCACAAACTAATTTAGTATTGCTGTCATGTTTTGAAAAAATTAAGTTTGAAAAAATATATTTAAATGTGTGGTTAAAAAATATAGTTAGTATTATTTTAAAAAATGCATTATTAGTGTATTAAAATATACAAAAAAAGTATAAAATAATAAAAATTTAAAGTCATAGAGATAAAAAAAATAATTTAACCTTTTGAACCTCAAACACACTCTTAAAAAGGTTTTTAAATTTGTTTTGCAAAATCAAACTATTTGACCACAAAACTAAAAATTTAATCTTATTTATCATTGAAATTGGGAACTGACATTTTAGCCAAAGACCCGTTCCTACCTTAATATTAACCGGCGCCTTAACAACTCTAGTAGTTAGACTCCCAATATGGATTTGGCTCGTAAGTTAACTTTATTTAAATTCATTTAAATGAAATTTATTATCAAAATATCAAAAATATTTTTTATTTATTTTAATATTTACAAAATTTTAATTTTTAAGTTGAGCCAAACTTAAAAATTAGCTTAAATCATGTTTATGATCTTAATATTTAATTAATGTTAGCTCAAGTTACAATTGATTATTATATGTATATTTAATCAAATAATATGTACAATTACCTAACAAAATATTTACATTGAAGTTCATAAAAGTAAATTTCATTTTTTATTAAATTTACATCTAAACATTTACTTTTCATTAATTATTTTCGATTACGATTTAAAATAATAAATATTTTCGATGTACATATATTTTTAATAAATATAATAAATAATAATTATTATTTATAATAAAATATTTACATGAAAATTAATAAAAAGGAAATTTTTATATTTATATGTAAATTAATAAAAGGAAATTAAAATCATTTTGTAATTTCTATATTAATACAGAAATTTACTTTTCTATTAATTTTACATATATATATATTTTCTTTTTAGTAATTATTTTTGAACGTGATATAAAATAATTAATCTTTTTTACTAATTTTCATATAAATATAATAAATTATATTTTATTAATTTTACATATTGAGTTTTCCTTTTTATTAATAAATAATAATTTTACATATAGACATTTCGTTTTAACTAATTATTTTTTATCATGGAATCAAATATAAATATTTTCGGTGTACATATATTTTTAATAAATATAATATATAATAATTATTTATTAATGAAAAAGTTTATATGTGAAGTTAATAAAAAGGAAATATCTATATTTATATGAAAATGAATAAAAAGGAAACTAAAATCATTTTTATAATTTCCATATAAATAAAGAAATTTTATTTTTTTATTAATTTTAGATATATGCATTTAATTTTCACTAATTATTTTCAACTATTATATAAAATAATTCATCCTTTTTTATTAATTTCTAAATAAATGTAAATGTTTTTTTTTGTTAATTTTACATATAAACATTTTTTATTGATACGAAAAAAATTATACATATAAATATTTATTTTTCATTAAATATTTATAATTAATCATTTTTTATTAATATCTAAATAAATACATATATTTTATTTTTATTTATTTTATATATTGTTTTTACTTTGTTATATTATTTCTTATCATAGTAATAATTAATAAAAATATTTGTTAAATCTTTTTTTTTTGAAAAATTTCTTTTACGCGTGTATATTTTTTTATAACATATATTTTTATCACATTAATAATATCATATGTTTTAAAATATGCAACATATCATTAATTTAATTATAAAAAATTTTATATTTAATATACTATTAATGTATAGATTTTATACATTATTAATAAATTAAATATTTTATTAATGAGTAAATATAAATTTTTAAAATAAATTTACATAAATTAAATTTTTTTAAAAAATATATTCATTAAAAAAGTATTATCATTTCATTCATCATATGAAAGAGTTTTTATTATTTAATTTATTAATAATATATAAATAATATATTAAATATAAAATTTTATAAAATTTTAAATAATAATTAAATACAATAATAATAAAAGGATACAGTTAGAATTTTTTAGTACTACAATGGATTTTTTCAGTTTAAAAATTTTGATAAAAAGTCAAATTCAACCGACGGGATCGACGGGCGCTCATGTTGAGACAGATGAGAAAGTGAGAGAATGTGGCCATGGAAGAATTTGTTTGAAAACAATTTGGTATCACAGAACTAGAAGTAGATAAGACAGCTCAACCTAAATCTAACGATTCCAATCCAATCCGATTTTATGTAAATTTTTTTTTGAAAATTAGGTTTTGAGTTAGATGATAATTTAAAAAGTTTAAGATAGAGTTGTTGGCAAACTCGTTTCGTTTCGTCTTGATATATATTATTTTTAATTAATTATTTAATATCATATATTTTTATATTTATATTAAAAAAATATTTTATTAATTTTAAATTAAATAAAATATAATTTTATATAATATAAAATCGAATTTAAATATTTAAAAAATAAAAAAAATTAAATTAGATCGCAAAAGTCTGAAGCTGACCCGCGTTACCACCCAAAGTACCCTGCGTAGAAGACGTTTTTGGGTTTTGCATTTGTCTGGGCGCTGGGCATTTGCCTCCGGCATTTGCAAGCAAGGGATGCCAACTTTTTTTTTTTTTATTGTAAAAAAACAATTTAAAGGTTAATAGGTTGTTTAATTTTTTAAATTAAAATAAAATATATTATATTTGATAATTTAAAATAAATTATAAATTATATATTTATAATAATTTTAATAAATAATTATCGATAAAATTTAAACTCATAATTTTTTCATAAAAAAAAATAGAATGAATTAGAATGACAGCTAATAATACAATACTATACTCCTTTTATTAAATTCATCTGTTTCAAAAGCCCATTTTTACTTCTCTCTTCTGCCTCACTCTTCAAATATTTTCTTCTGCGCTGTCTCCTTCTGTCTGTTTGACTCTTCAGCCTCTGCTATGATGCGTTATTAATTATTAATTCTTCCTTTTCCATTCCCACATTCTTCTCTTTTTCGTTCATTTCTCAAAAAAAAAAAGAAAAAAAGCTATTTTGTTTCTGGGTTTTTTTTTTTGGCTGTGAATTGAAGATCATACAGGAATGGGATTTTGACCGAGTTGTAAATAACACAAGGGGATTGTTTATAATTTTGGAGTTAGGATCTTGTTATGATGATGGAAACACCCACTCCCATCTCTGGTCCTCCCTCACCATCGCCTTCACCTTCTTCTTCTGTTGCTAGCACTACTAGAGGTGATGCCATTGATTCTTCGAGAAGCTATGGCATTCAACTTCCATCGCTAAACTCGATCCAATCACCCTTATCCCTCCTACTGGAATACTCTGGCATTTTTTCCAATCCCACCATTAATCAACCTCGTGGGGATTTAGTCAACACTGATTTACAACCTCCCGCTAGTCCTACATCTGGTGCTGGGGAAGTTTCTATTCAAATCGTTGGGCCTGCCAGAGGCGAAGAAGTCAATGCCCAAACCCCCATGCCCCTCCATGGAGTGGAGGAAGACGATCCCCTTACCAGTAGAAGTACCAGTAACGAGGAAAGGAGTTCGAATTCCTCTTACCATTACGATGTGCAGCGCATTGCCAGGTGGTTTGAGCATGTTCTTCCATTTTCCTTGCTTTTGCTGCTTGTCTTCATTCGTCAGCATTTAAAAGGTATTCCCTTTCTTCTTCTTCATTTACCTCTCGCTTTTACATTTTTTCATCAGTAAGTGGACTAGGTTGTTATTTATTTGATCATGATGGACATCAACGAAAATGTTATTACTACAATCTTTTGCTGTTTTTTTTATTTGCTTCATTATCTGCTTGTCTAATAATTATAATCTAAAGAAATTGATGCATTATAGCAATGAACATATTTACTTCCTAGCATTCTGTTATTTCTATCTGGTGTGTCATTGTTGGCTGCCCTACGGTATGAAGTCCCCATGTTCCCTCTTTGATTCCTAGCTTAGTCTTTTATAAGTTTGTGAATTAAGTTGAATTTGGATGATCTTTACATGTGTTCTTTATAGGACTGTCATCAACCTGGTTTAAAGATAGGCAATATGTGAGGGCACTCTATAGATGGTTAAAGAGGAAAAGAATGTGGAGAATCAATTTTTGGTGTTTTGTATGAGGAGTCCAGGTTTCTCATCTTCTGAAGGAGATCAAGAACTTCATGTATTCATTAGAGATTAACGAGGTTCCTTTTTTGTATTCCTTGTCTGTTGAGTTTGAGTTGTTGGGACAAAATTGGAAATTTCATTAAGGAAAAAGCTAGTGTACCATTTTTCTCTTGCCTTGCATTAGTTTGTTTTGATTTTGTCCTAGTGTCTCTTTGTAAGTTGTAAGTGGTGTAATGTTCCTGGTCGATGCTTTCTTTACTGCATAAGGGCATAAGCGAAGTCAAGGGATTTTCTTCTAACTAGTGGTTGAGTCCTTTCTAGTCTTCCTTTTGCTAATTATCTATCACAAAAAAAAAAAAAGAGTAGAGAGAGAGAGAGAGAGAGACAGGGGTTGGAGGATAGGTTTCACACAGAGAGAAGGAGAAGAAGGGTCAAACATCGGAATTACCCTCGTTCTGCCATGGTTCTTAGCAACTGAACCAAGTAAAAAGTTTTAGTATCTCTATCCTGCATGAGTATATAGCTCTATCTCAAGTTATTTGGAATTTACTATCTATAGTCTAAACTCTTTTATTTCTCATTATTTATTTTGGTGGCTTGTAGGTTTCATTGTCATGATATGGGTTACGATTGTTATGTTCAAGTCAAATGTTATCCTTCAAAAGCAGACAGCAATGAAGGTGCTTAAATGTGTCTTTAAAGTTTTTCCTTTTAAGTGCCTTGCTATCCCAATAGAGGGGCAAAACCATGAAACTGGACATTCACTGGTTTTGCAGGGAGAGAGAAAGAATGCAGTTTTAATCACGTATTCTGTACTTTTTATGCTTCATGTGATTGGTGTTTATTGGTGGTATCAGAACAATGATATTTTATATCCATTGGTCATGCTTCCTCCAAAGACAATACCACCTTTCTGGCACGCAATTTTCATCATTCTGATCAATGGTACGAAATTGAATTGTAATACTTGGGTTCATTTCTATTGACATTATTCTAATGGTAAGATAAAGAATGTACGGCAGATATTCTTGATCTTGTGTACCCTTCTTATAACTGTGCCTTTATATTTGGCCATGCTGAAATTTCCTAAGTTAATTTGTGTGTTGTTGCCCCTGCTGCTCTTTAAAATTTATCATTCTACACACTGAGCATTTTACAAGTGTAACTAAATCCTTATTTCTGCTTTACTTTTTGTTGATCTCTTTGCTCATCTATGTACAATTCGTCCTAATAATTTCCGAAGTGATTTATTTTTCTTCATATTGTAAAATCACTTGTCATGAATGTTCAAACATTTTAGAGTTTCCTTTTATTAATTGACTGATCTATTTAACTTTCAGATACAGTGGTGCGGCAGGCAGTGATGGCATTTAAGTGTGTACTACTCATCTATTATAAAAACGGCAGAAGGCATGACTTCCGCCGACAGGTTTTATGATGTTATGCGTTGCAAAATTACTTTTTCATTTTATATACAACTGCAACTATACTCCCCTTCCCCGCCATCCCACCCCCCGCAAAAAAAAAAAAAAAAAAGAAAAAGAACTTTTATCAACCCACAAGAGAAAAAAAGTGAAGCAAAAGAGATGAAAAGAAACTCTAACTGTCGGTATACTGTTTTCAAGGGTAAAGTGCTAACCCTGGTTGAATATACACTCCTATTGTACCGAGCATTGTTACCAACACCTGTTTGGTACCGGTTCTTCTTAAACAAAGACTATGGAAGCCTTTTCTCTTCATTGACTACAGGGCTGTATTTAACGTTCAAGCTCACATCTGTTATTGAAAAGGTATAAATTCCATATTCTAATACTTGTACATATGTGCAATTTCTGATTTTGTTGAATTTCTATGTAATACTATGAATCTGTTCACATGATAATTTGCTTTATTTGTAACAATTTGGAATTGCTCTTAGGTTCAATCCTTCTATGCTGCCCTAAAAGCATTGTCGCAGAAGGAAGTTCATTATGGGTCGTATGCCACATTAGAACAGGTATCTGAAAGGGGGAAACAAAAATTTTAATTCAATTTGAAACTTGGTTCCACCTACTGACCTAAAGAAAGGCTAGTTGACAAGAAAAAAGAATGTTTCTCTTTGCAATTTTAATTCAATTTGAAAATGCCTGAATGTTTCAAGTTGCCTTGTTGTTTGTACCGTAGTTCTAACCTTTTGATGTATCTAATAATTTCTTCTTGCACATGTTTGTGTTACTTGCTTAATCTTTCAATGCCAAGCCCAGAGAAAAGAATGTTATCTTTTGATACTTATTTCATTGACATCTCTAATATGCATCTTTTGCTTGTACATTTATTATGTTAATTCAACCTTTTGATTTAATGTTTTTCATGTGATATTTCAAGTTAATTGAAAATGTGTAACTATTTTACTGACATTGTGACATTTTCATGCCTTAAATATTTTTAGCAAAATATTTTATTCTTGATCAATGTGATATGTATCAGATAGACTTTAAAATTGACTGCATGACGAGAACGGATAGGTTGTTGACTCTAATAATTGCTTTGGTAATAGTAACTTAAAAATTGCTTTGGTAAAATAATGCTGTATAGAAAGTTACAAAATAGGGTAACAAGTAGCAACTCTTTCACTGGTGAAGTTGATCCCTACTAATTCATATGATTAGGGATGAGTAAAGATCAACTTGCACTGCTGCAACAATTATTCACCATTACAGTGTACATATTTTTTTATACAATTTATATTTTGTTAATTTTTCTGATAGATTTAATGCATTATTCATATAGATCAGGCATGTCAAATCTCAAATTAACTGACATCATGAAAATTTCAGCCTTTATTCCTAACTATTTATTATGATAAGTTTCCATCCCTCAATAGAATTTATCCCTTATTCCTAAATATATTTTATTTATTACAGGTAAATGAAGCAGGAGACCTCTGTGCCATATGCCAGGAGAAGATGCAAGCACCAATTTTGTTGCGCTGTAAACACATATTCTGTGAGGATTGTGTCTCTGAATGGTTAGTTTATACCTCCAGTTTGTTGCAATTGCATATTATAAAGCGAAAGAAATATTGTGAATGTTGAAAGTTTGGTTTTTTTTTTTTTAAAACTCACAGTGTGTTTTTTTGTTCCTATAACAAGTCTCAAGTATTGATTGTATAGTCTAGGCTCTTATCATCTAGCTAAAAACTTATGGTTTGTAATTATTCAATTTGGCTACATATATGTGAAGATAGAACGGGAATATGGGAATTTGCTATATATAAATATTTTACTCCTGTATCAAGTTCTAAGTTGTTATTGGAATATCTTTAACTGTAGCAACTGATAGAAGTTTAGTTTGTCAAATTCAATTTGATAAAGTTCCCTGCTTTTGTAGAATGATTACATTGGAGAAAGAGATTTGAAACTATAACCATTGGTTTGCTATCATAAAGATTTGGAAAGAGGAGGGGACAAAAAAAATATAAACATGTGCCTTACAGTAGTTAGAAGACAGAACTTTCACCTGTTGGACCAACTGGGAAATTGAGAATAAAAATGCCATACATAAATATTTAATATATCTCCTTAGCATAATAGTATATAATTATTTTGCTTCTGTATAAAGTTCTGATTTGTTATTAGAATCTATGGTTTAAACAGAAATAATTGATTGAACTTGCCTGTATTTGTAGCATGATTGAATTGGAGAAAGATCTGAAACTGTAACCTTTTGCATTTGTTCACTAGTGTAAAAATTTGGGAAGAGAGGGGAAAGAAACATACCAACCTGTGCCTTTTAGAGCGCCCAGAACTTTCACCTAGTGAAGTGATGAGAGATTGATAATTTTAGTGCTCCACCTTCATTAGGCAGGATTGCATATTGGGTGAAAACCATTTCTTAACTGCATAGCATATTATCTGCACACGCCTTGACGTAATGCATTCATACCTTCACTTATGACTAAACTCACAAATTACACATGTTGGTGAACTGTTATAATCAGAGAAAAAATAATTTGGAAACTGAAGAATGGTAGTACCATAGGAGAATGATGCCATTCCAATGTAAGATTAAGGAGAAATTGCTGCTTTAAAGTTGGGGGTATAATATCAAAAATTACGCTCCCCATTTTCCTAGAAAACAGAGATCAATAGTTTTTACCGAATACTGAAAATTTGTGACTGCTATTGTACATGGCACTTACCTTACAGTAATACAATGCAAGGGCCTAGTTGCCTAATGGCCTGAAGTGTTGCTTATCTATCAAATTCCGTTGTGATGTTTTGTTAGATAACCTAACTTTCAAACAGAAGTATTTAAGTTTTAAATCAGCTATTATTTGGTAACATGCTTGACTTGTGCCTCAGTTTCATCCCTTGACCATTGTGTGGGTATTTATATTTCAGGTTTGAGAGAGAAAGGACTTGCCCACTGTGTAGAGCTGTGGTTAAAGCTGCAGATCTACGATCCTTTGGGGATGGATCAACGAGTTTGCTTTTCCAGTTGTTTTAAAATTCAGATTTTAGTTCCATGTCATAGCCTTATCTTTTTGAGCTGTGCTCTCCTTCAGGTTTTGTCTTGTCTTTTAGATTGGTATACAGTGAGTGAATTATCTCGTCCTAGATTGCTCATAATGGTTATAGTATAAGCCAGATAGTAGAAACAGATTAGCCGTATGTGCAATTCATCCGTTCTGAGGTTAATTGAAGCTGAGCTTTCGAATGGAAGGGAGGATTCTGACGTTGTATTACATTACTTTCTTAAATTTATCATACTTGCCTTATAAATAAAAAAGGCATAACATTATATTTCAATCATGAATGTATAACTTCTTTGAACTCTCTCTCTCTCTTTCTCTCTCCGAAGTAATGAGTTTTATGCATCTGAATCAAGTGAACTAGGTCTCAGTTTAAGTTGGGCTGCTTTAGTATAAATAGAGATCTTACTATTATCAAAATGTTTAATGCATGAATACTGTGGCTGTGCATGCATGATTAATTATTGAATTTACCATTTCTGGTTCAGGCTTGTATAGTGATATGACTCTCCGTTTTCTTCATTAGCAGTTTGATTTGAATTTCATGCTTAAGTACCCATTTTCTTCCATAATCAACACGAGCATTTTAATCTGGTGCAGTTATTTTCTGCCTTGTGGTCTTTGTTTATTTATGCATAAAATTTGCATAGAGAAAGCAGTTGGTGAAAGAACAGAATTATTATCGGGATTTTAGTTTGGATCGTAGTCATGCATCAATGGTTTGTGGTCCCGTAAAATTCCAAGTGTTCCCCCTAGTGGAGTGTTGCCAGTTGTTGGAATAAATTGCACAACTGGTGAATTTCATTAGACATATTGGTCTGGCAAACAAAAAAGGGTCATAGTCTTGTATGTGCATGTTCTAAATGTTGGTACTCAGGCCGACATATTCATTCCCGGTTGCTCAACTCTCGACTCTCAACCATAACATTCACCAATCATATTTTGCATTCTTATTCTTTACACGTATACATCTTGTTTGTTTTCACATGTACAATCCAATGGAGAGTGAGATTTTTACTGTTTTGTGTACCTTGACTGCTTCATTATCTTCTGTTTTTTCTTTTCTTGAAGACTGAGATTTTTTTCCAAAAGCATTTGATCTGTTTCATCCCGCAAAGCACAAACATTAATCGCAGCAGAAACAATCACCATCACTGGCTAAAACTCTTTTAATGCTTGTGGATTTTTGCGGTTGCAGTGGTTCCTTCTCTCCATTTATCAAAACCTAGCACAATTGAGATTTGAGATAGGAAAAGAAGAGTATTTCCCTGTTAACCGAAGGGATCATCATTGTACATGGATATACAAGATAGTGACGTTTTATTCAGTCCGTATCTGTTTTCCCATGGCCGGTTGTCCCACTTTCCTCCCTCAGCTAGCTCCATCTCCTACCATTCCACAATAAGCCGCGGGCCCAGTGATGAATGGCTAAAGTTGGAGGAGTCAGGATGAGTATTGATCAATATATGGGCATATAAATGTCAAGAATTTTATAGCAAAGGGAATGGATGCTTGATAGCTGATTATTGATTAATTGCCTCTCGAGTCTCGACCATATATAACAATAAAATAGAAAATTCACACATGAATTTCCGATTGAGTTCCACCTTAATCAAGGCTGTTTCAAGGACCCAATTGCAGGATTTGCACAGGTTGATGCCTTGCCTTAGAAAAGTTCCTTTTAGCATCAATGGGGGTGATGAGTGATGATGATGGCAAATAAGACTAGCTAGAGTGGTCTCCACTAGGGCACTCTCTGTGATGCAGAGGAGGGTTACAGCTTACAGGGAAAAAAGGACTTCTCTTTTGGCATTTGGAATTCTGTGACATTTTCAGTGCTTTAGGGAAAAAATGTGCAATTTACAGTCTAAAAGCAATATCCTATGTGCTATGCCTCAGTCTCACCCCAGCACAGCACATTGTATGTCTCATATCATCAATATCTACTTTTACAAAATTATATTCATTGATTTATCTATATAAAGCTTAGCCTCCACAAGCCATGACACACTGTGCAGGAGCCAGAAAGTACCTGCATCTGATATTAACGCTAGCGATGCTCTCCTTCTCTCTCGCTTTCTCTCTCTTTTCCTTTAAAGCAGAGAAATTATGAATTGTGTCTAATCATTTGACACATTCACACGGGCATATGTATTGCTAACATTCAATTAGTTGCTTGTTTTTTTCCTAGGATTTTACCTCTGCAACCTTAGTGCCTTAGTAATATACATTAGTATTAATTAAATAGCTTAATTTGGCATATTTAACTATAAAGGTTCATAATTTCCTGATATATTTATCTAAATGTCTTGTTTGAATTAAGAATGCTCCCAAGATCCACAATTAACCCTTTTTTTAATTGGATTTAAGCACTTCTCAACCGTTTATCCGAACATAACATAAATAAATTCATAGATATGATTAAATATTCTATTTCTACACAATCGTTGAATAAAAAAAGCTCATGTAATTTGAATTTTTAGGAATGGAAAAAAAGTGGTTTTATTTTAATTCCTTAAGCAAGAAAGAAGAAAAAAGATCAATGTATTACAGCTTTAATGTGAAAAAAAAAAAAAAAAAAGAAAGGCTGTGAGACTTGTTCTAGGCTGTGTATGATAAAAAGTATAAAAAGTTGTTTCATCTAATGATTAGATTATATATACAATGAATGGAAAAAGAGGTGGTGCAATTCAATCATTTTATGGAGAAATTTTCTTTTTAATAACTTTCTCTAATCTTCAAGCAACATAGTTTTGTTAATTTAATTCAGTGGTTGAGTTACATAACAGGAAGGGAGGGTATGATTAGGCATGTAATCAAGTCGAGTCGAGTCAATACAGTGAGAAACTCAAGCTCGAGCTCAACTCACAACTCGCGGTTCGATACTCGACTCGAATTCAATCAAGTTTTATTTTTCAAGCTCGAGTTTGATTCGTGATCGAATTCGAGCTACTCGAGCTCGCTCGATTAATATGTAAAAATAAGTTCAATTCATATACTCGATAAGAGTTCAATTATTTATGCTCGAGCTCGAACTCGAACTCGAATTCAAAATATTTTATTAATTAAAATAATAAAAATATATTTAAATATAAAAACTCGATTAGACTCGCGAGTTACTCGAGTCGGATATAAGAATACTCAAATTCGGCTCGATCGATAAGTCGAGCTACTCGAGCTCGAGCTCAACTCGATAATAATCGAAAGAATTCAAGTTTTTTTTGAATCAAACCCGAGTAATTTACGAGTACTAATATATCATTTACATCCCTAAGTATGATGGATGTTGAACAGAAGAAGGAAATATATATACATATATATATATATATATATAAACAGTGCATGTCAGCTGCCATTTTTGTTGCATCATAATTAGGGCTGTAAACGAGCCGAGCCGAGCCGAGTAATGAGAAGCTCGAGCTCGAGCTCGACTCACAACTTCGGGCTCGATACTCGGCTCGAGCTCGATCGAGTTTTATTTTTCAAGCTCGAGCTCGATTCGTGATCGAATTCGAGCTACTCGAGCTCGCTCGATTAAGCTCGATTAATATGTAAAAATAAGCTCGATTCGTATACTCGACAAGAGTTCGATTATTCATGCTCGAACTCGAACTCGAACTCGGATTCGAAATATTTTATTAATTAAAAAAATAAAAATATATTTAAATATAAAAGCTCGATTAGAGCTCAGATATAAGAATACTCGAATTCGCTCGATCGGTAAGTCGAGCTACTCGAGCTCGAGCTCGACTCGACAATAATCGAACCGAATTCGAGTTTTTTTCGAATCGAACCCGAGTAGCTTGCGAGTACTAATGTATCATTTACACCCCTAATCATAATAGAATTAATATTAATATTTTGCAATATTAGTGATAGGAGTAGTACTGTATCACGAACTGAAAAAGTCTTAAATCCCATGTCAAACATAAAAAGATAGTCATTTGAATATAAGAGGGTTTACATCGTCTTTTCTTTGTGAGGTACTTTTTGTAGGATAAAACTTTGAAGTCAGAGGGGTCAGAACAGATAATATCGTACAAGAGTGTGAACCGTGACAGGTAGGCTGATTTGAAACGTCGGATGAGTGCATGTCTGGGTCCTAGAGCCGCACGAGTTTAGAGCTTAAGTCTCGACACATGACAAGTGGTATCAGAGATAACCCTAAATCGTTCCACCAACGCTAAGCACCTCGGGGGGGTAAGCAAGGTGGCCAGCCTCCGTGACAAGGGTGTCACGAGATTGAGACAACCCTAAACCGTTCGATATATACCAAGCACTTCGAGAGAGGTAGGCAAAGTGGTCAGCCTCTATGGTAAAGGAGTCACGGGATTGAGTGAGAAAAAATGTCACGAACCTAAGAAAGAGTGTGGTCAGCTTTCGTGATGAGGGCGTCACAAGATTGGGTGAGAAAAAATGTCAGTATAGTTTGTTTTGGAATATTTACAGCATTCCTTTTATATAAGCCTTTTTATTCATCTTTACAAAATTTGAACTTACTAAATTCGTTTGCAAAAAGGGGTCCTAAAAGAATTTTCTTGGATAAAATAATATATTTGATATACGATTGGTCATATAATCGTGGTTACATAGATACGTTTTATTCAATATCCTTAACAAAAGGTATAAGAGGATTGTCCGAACTAACTCATTTTTTTGATAGGCATCGTTTGACCCACGTCAAGCGTCTCAAGTGAGGTAAGTAAGGTGGTCAGCTTCGTGACGAAGGTGTCTCGAGGTTAGGTGGGAGAAAATATCACTGACCTAAAGAGGAGTGTGATCAACCTCCGTGATGAGGGCATTATGAGGTTAGGTAGGGAAAAATATCACAGATCTAAGGAGGAGTCTTGAATCTTATATCGAATATAAAAAGAGGATCACTATGGTATAAAAAGGTTCACACCGTCTTCTTTTTATGAAGTATTTTTTATAGGACAAAACCGTGAGGTTAGAGGAATTGGATAACACCTCACAAAAATATAAATCGTGATAGGTAAACTGATTTAAAATATCAAATGAATGCATACTCAAATTTTGGAATCTCACGAACCTAAAATTTAAGTATCGATATGTGACAACTATATTAAAAAATGAAATGCAATAAAATGGTCGGCTCAGTTGCATTATAAGAGAAGAGAGAGAGTAGAGCAGTAGAGTGGATGGTAAATGAGAGAGGAAATTGAAATAGTAAAACAAATCGTATTTCACCCAATACATTATCATTCCGAGCAAAGCAGTGTGGCAGGTAGCTGTTGAAAGCTAGTGAGAAGTGGGAGAATGTATGGACTATAATAGCAAAGAGAGGAAGATTGGATCGATGGATTGTTGAGTTTTGAGGTAAAAGCATTAACTGCACACTAGAGACTGGAGAGTAGAGTCAAAGTTAAACCCAACACATCAAACAATGAAATGGGTAAAGTATTTCCGCTCTGTTGCCCACTGCCCATCACTGACTGACGTATATATTCATTCATTCATTGAGCGAAAAGTGAGAGAGTATGGATGATGAAAGAGAGACTGCTTTGCTTTTGCATCCTTTCATTTCATTTTTTTTTCCCATTACCATCTACTGCAAACAAATCCTCCCTTAGGCCTCAACATTAACAAAAAAACGTTAACCAGTTACAATTTAACAGAAAGAAAAAAGAAAAAAAATAGAATAGAGTTTGATTAAATTGATAAAAATAAAATACTCCATCAATAAAATTTAGATTCCATTTCCCTTACCAACGTACATAAAATCTCTTGCAAATCCAGGATAGAAGAAAAAGAAAAGAAAAGGTGTCATCAACTTGTTAAGATATGTTAAGATCTAGAGTCGCTTTCCTGTCTCTGACTCTCATGACGATAATGACCCCTCATTTCCCTTTGCCTGACAAATATACACTCATTCCTTCTTCCTTATTTTCATCTCTTATTACTACTCCTTTCTATTATACTTCACCTTCCTTGCACTCCTCTCTTGCTTGCCTTCCTTGCTTTGCTCCGTGCACTCCACTGCCATCCCATTAATTTCTTCTTTTTTTTTTAATTTTGATTTATTTCCCAAAATTAGGGTTTTAACAAGCACTGCATCACTTACCAAATTTAGGGTTTCAACAAACACCACAGATACATCTCTATGAATGTTAATACTAGTAGAGTATTAGCTGTTAGAGGTTAGGTTAGGTTAGGTTAAGGTGAAACACACTTTAGTTTTACTTTTTCTTGGTATCAGCCCTTTTTTTTTCCCTATTAATCATACGCTCTCCATGATTAGATCATGTTTGAACTTAATACTACCAGTTGTTCACTTTTATCTCATCCCAAGGGGAAAATGGTTGTTTTCTCTGTGTCAAAGTTTCCAGGGTAAATTCCTTAGGTCTGTCATTTTTTTTTTCTTTTTTCCTTTCCCTCTCCCGAATACTCCCTTTATAGCCCATAACTAATCAGTCTAGACTTTGTGCACATTGGCCTTGCCGCTTGCAACAGTAAGTTCTATCAGATCTGTTAACTTCTATTGTAATCTTCAAGCTCTAATTGACCTAGACGCTTGATGGAAAATGGGTTTTTCTTTTTTTCCGCCCTTTTTGAAGTAATCTCTCTCTCATCACAGGGAGTGTACGGTGTGCTCATTATTTTTCCGTCCAATTAGAAGACCATAAATTTTTTTCTGTAGAGTTTGTTTTTCTTGGTTTTCCTCTGTGAAGCTGCATAATCTGAATGTTTTGCATATGCTAGCTAACTATATAGTGAGTGGTCGGTATCTTTCGGATGTTTCAAGT